GAGGTCATCCTGCCCCTCTGCTCTGCCCTGGGGAGGCCCCAGCTGGAGCACTGGGACCAGTTCTGGGCTCCCCAGTTCCAGAAGGACAGGGAACTGCTGGAGAGGGGACAGCAGAGGCTACAAAGATGATGAGGGACCTGGAGCATCTCTCTTACGAGGAGAGGCTGAGGGACTTGGGGCTTTTGAGTCTGGAGAAGAGAAGGCTGAGGGGGGATCTGATCAACACCTGTAAATACTGAAAGGGTGGGTGTCAGGAGGATGGGGCCAGGCTTTTTTCAGTGGTGCCCAGTGACAGGACAAGAGGAAATGGGCACAAACTGGAATACAAGAATTTCCACCTAAACATGAGGAGGAACTTCTTTGCTGTGAGGGTGGCAGAGCCCTGGAAGAGGCTGCCCAGGGAGGTGGTGGAGTCTCCTTCTCTGGAGACATTCAAACCCATCTGGACACGTTCCTGTGGGACCTGCTCTCTGGCAGGGGGTTGGAGGAGATGATCTCCAGAGGTCCCTTCCAACCCCATGTCACTCTGTAGTTCCTGGTGTGAGTAGCACACGGGTGGCTCCGTTGATGAACATGACGATGGCAGTAAAAAGGCACTTGACCCCACTCAATGGGGCTTTCACTGTGTGGGGTGTTCCCTCTCGCTGTGCCAGGCCTGGTGGAGCTGCACGAGGAGAGGCTTCTCAGCACAATGAAGTGCTTGGACTTGGGTACAGAGTAGTATTGTTGTCCCTACAAAGCCATCTTTTTCCTGTATGAAGACAGTCTGTGGATTCCCCACTTCATGGGGTGAGAGCGTTGTACTGTAGCTGAGGGTCTGTTTAAATTCCGCTGCTTCAGAATAATCCCTTGTGGGTTTTTTTAAGGAGGCCTGAACAGTTTCCCTGCCTCCTTTCTTCATGGGTTTTGTGTCCCATCACACAGCATTTGATATTGTTGCACTTGTTACTTCATCCACAGTCAAGGGAAAGCTTTCTCTTGATACTAATGGGAATAAATAGTCTTTTTTTGTGCGCGGAGGAAGGTTACTGCAGCTCTGGTAGCCCAAGAAAATCACAAAAGCTGATTTTTAAGGATACCACCAGGTTTGTGGGGGCAGCTTCCATTCGTGGACCCAGGTGTGCTGAATGTTTAACTCTCCTAATCTCTGAGAGAAAATTTACTCTCCTGATAATGTCAGCAGAGGAATCCTGAGCTTTGTCTTGACATGGAGTGTGAGGCGCCAGGACGGGCAGCTTTCCCAGGTGACCTTTCCATTGTCTCCATCCACAGAACCGCTCCTGAACTGTCAAACGACATCGAGTGGCCTTGATTTGTTGAATAAAGCAGGTTTTTTTCCAATAACTTAGAAAATAGAAGGCAAACAGGAGCTTACAGACTAAAAGCGTGTTTTTGTTGGGTTTCAGGGTTGCGGAGCTGAAGGACTCGCTTTGTGACGTCAACCTTGGCTTCAATAAAATCTCCTCTGTTTCCTTGGAGCTCTGCCTGCTCCGTAAGCTGACACATTTGGATCTCAGGTTTGTGACGTGTGCTGGGCTTCCTTTCTTGGTAACTTATTTTTCGTGCCTTCTTTTTAAAGCAGCCCATCTGTTGGAGGGGAAGAGCAGGGCTGAAATGAATCTTCCTTTCCCCAAATGCCTCCGAGGGAGCGGCAGGTCTGGAATAGCGGTGGCCTGGATTTAGGGATCAGTCAAAGAAAAACACAGAAAACCAAGTGGATGAGCTCTGAGACTTGCTGTGATGAAAGGTCTTGCCTCAGTCATAAGAGGGTCTCAGAGATGTTAAATTGCTATTTAAAGACTTATTTGATTTAAAGTAACCTGCCTGTGGTGTGACAGAGTCCGGTGAAGGGCCACCGAGATGCAGAAGGGACTGGAGCATCTCCCATGAGGAGAAGCTGGGAGAACTGGGGCTGCTCAGCGTGAAGCAGAGCAGGCTCAGGGGGTCTCATCCATGGGTACAAAGCCCTGCTGGGACGGAGAGGATGGAGCTGGGCTCGTCCCAGTGGTGCCCAGGGACAGGACCAGAGGCCACAGGTACAAAGTGACACAGCGGAGGATCCCTCTGGACATCAGGAATCACTTCACTATGAGGGTCACCAAGTACCACCAAGGAGTTGGTGGAGTCTCCATCCTTGGAGATACCCAGAACTCTCCTGGACATAGTCCTGGGCCACCTGCCCCAGGGGACTGGAGCAGAGGAGCTCCAGAGGTCCCCACCAGCCTCAGCCCCTGTGATGCAGTGATGTATGTGCCGATGGTGGAGGAATTAGGCTGAAGATTGCAGAAATGGGGGATAATGGGAGATTGATGAGGGAACGAGGTCAGATATCTCAGTGGTTAATAATTTAGCTCTAAGTCTGGGCACCTTCTAGTGAAAGGTCCTTATTTTCCTGTGATGGCTTTTTGTGTCCCTCATCCACAGTACCTCTGCAGATGCTTACCCAAGGCTTCACAGAGGTCACTGATCATTGTTTGTCTCCGTTTGATGCACAGAAATAATTTTTTGACATCCTTGCCTGAGGAGATGGAGGCACTGACGGGACTGCAAGTGATAAATCTTTCTTTTAACAGGTGAGCAACTGTTTAGATTTTCTATATATACAATAACAAAAGAACTGGGCTGAATTCAGTGATTTTCCTGTGGTGTAAGAATGAGGAGGCACTCGGTGGACTGGCTGTGAGCTTAAAACAGATGAATGAATGTACTTCTTTAGGCAGTGGGGGGTGTTTTTGGAACTTCCTGCTACAAAAGTTTTGGAAGCCAGTTAAAAGAGGGATCAAAGAGCCTTGTGAACAGTGTGTCGAGGAGTGGGAGCCAACAGGAGCCCCCCTAAAGCAGCCACTGGGAGGGAGGGAGGGAGGGATGGGGATTCAAATGTCCGATTTTAAAGGCTGCTCATTTTTTAACGCCCCATTTCTGACTCTCAGTGCTTTGCCTCCTTTTCCTTAAAGATTTAAAGCATTTCCTGGTGTCCTCTATCGCATCCTGGCGCTGGAGACCATCCTGCTCAGTAACAACCAGGTGGGCTCCATAGACCCCCTGCAGCTGAAGCGCATGGACAGGCTGGGGACACTGGACCTGCAGAACAACGACCTCCTCCAGGTGCCTCCTGAACTTGGGAACTGCGAGTCGCTGAGGTGGGTGCTTCTGTGGGGACCTGTTTTATAGAAACATATCCTGACTGATTGCTTCAGGGCCTGGTTTGTCAGAGGAAAAGGTGCTAATTGTAGAATCACAGAATGGTGCGGGTTGGAAAGGACCTTCCAGAGACTCCAACCACCAACCCAGCACTGCCCCAACCCCCACTGACCCATGTCCCTCAGCACCACCTCTGCCCGGCTTTGAAATCCCTCCAGGGATGGGGACTCCGGAGCTCTGCCTGCTCCGTAAGCTGACACATTTGGATCTCAGGTTTGTGACGTGTGCTGGACTTCCTTTCCTGGTAACTTATTTTTCGTGCCTTCTTTTTAAAGCAGCCCATCTGTTGGAGGGGAAGAGCAGGGCTGAAATTAATCTCCCTTTCCCCAAATGCCTCCCTGAAGGCTGAGGGAGCGGCAGGTCTGGAATAACGGTGGCCTGGATTTAGGGATCAGTCAAAGAAAAACACAGAAAACCAAGTGGATGAGCTCCGAGACTTGCTGTGATGGAAGGTCTTGCCTCAGTCATAAGAGGGTCTCAGAGATGCTAAATTGCATTTAAAGACTTATTTGATTTAAAGTATCCTGCCTGTGGTGTGACAGAGTCCAGCGAAGGGATGCAGAAGGGACTGGAGCATCTCCCACGAGGAGAAGCTGGGAGAACTGGGGCTGCTCAGTGTGAAGCAGAGCAGGCTCAGGGGGTCTCATCCATGGGTACAAAGCCCTGCTGGGACGGAGAGGATGGAGCTGGGCTCATTTCCATTCGTGGACCCAGGTGTGCTGAATGTTTAACTCTCCTAATCTCTGAGAGAAAATTTACTCTCCTGATAATGTCAGCAGAGGAATCCTGAGCTTTGTCTTGACATGGAGTGTGAGGCGCCAGGACGGGCAGCTTTCCCAGGTGACCTTTCCATTGTCTCCATCCACAGAACCGCTCCTGAACTGTCAAACGACATCGAGTGGCCTTGATTTGTTGAATAAAGCAGGTTTTTTTCCAATAACTTAGAAAATAGAAGGCAAACAGGAGCTTACAGACTAAAAGCGTGTTTGTGTTGGGTTTCAGGATTGCGGAGCTGAAGGACTCGCTTTGTGACGTCAACCTTGGCTTCAATAAAATCTCCTCTGTTTCCCTGGAGCTCTGCCTGCTCCGTAAGCTGACACATTTGGATCTCAGGTTTGTGACGTGTGCTGGACTTCCTTTCCTGGTAACTTATTTTTCGTGCCTTCTTTTTAAAGCAGCCCATCTGTTGGAGGGGAAGAGCAGGGCTGAAATTAATCTCCCTTTCCCCAAATGCCTCCCTGAAGGCTGAGGGAGCGGCAGGTCTGGAATAACGGTGGCCTGGATTTAGGGATCAGTCAAAGAAAAACACAGAAAACCAAGTGGATGAGCTCCGAGACTTGCTGTGATGGAAGGTCTTGCCTCAGTCATAAGAGGGTCTCAGAGATGCTAAATTGCATTTAAAGACTTATTTGATTTAAAGTATCCTGCCTGTGGTGTGACAGAGTCCAGCGAAGGGATGCAGAAGGGACTGGAGCATCTCCCACGAGGAGAAGCTGGGAGAACTGGGGCTGCTCAGTGTGAAGCAGAGCAGGCTCAGGGGGTCTCATCCATGGGTACAAAGCCCTGCTGGGACGGAGAGGATGGAGCTGGGCTCATCCCAGTGGTGCCCAGGGACAGGGCCAGAGGCCACAGGTACAAAGTGACACAGAGGAGGATCCCTCTGGACATCAGGAATCACTTCACTGTGAGGGTCACCAAGTACCACCAAGGAGGTGGTGGAGTCTCCATCCTTGGAGATACCCGGAACCCTCCTGGACATAGTCCTGGGCCACCTGCCCCAGGGGACTGGAGCAGAGGAGCTCCAGAGGTCCCCACCAGCCTCAGCCCCTGTGATGCAGTGATGTATGTGCTGATGATGGAGGAATTAAGCTGAAGATTGCAGAAATGGGGGATAATATGGGATTGATGAGGGAACGAGGTCAGATATCTCAGTGGTTAATAATTTAGCTCTAAGTCTGGGGACCTTCTAGTGAAAGGTCCTTATTTTCCTGTGATGGCTTTTTGTGTCCCTCATCCGCAGTGCCTCTGCAGATGCTTAACCAAGGCTTTGCAGAGGTCACTGATCATTGTTTGTCTCCGTTTGATACACAGAAATAATTTTTTGACATCCTTGCCTGAGGAGATGGAGGCACTGACGGGACTGCAAGTGATAAATCTTTCTTTTAACAGGTGAGCAACTGTTTAGATTTTCTATATATACAATAACAAAAGAACTGGGCTGAATTCAGTGATTTTCCTGTGGTGTAAGAATGAGGAGGCACTCGGTGGACTGGCTGTGAGCTTAAAACAGATGAATGAATGTACTTCTTTAGGCAGTGGGGGGTGTTTTTGGAACTTCCTGCTACAAAAGTTTTGGAAGCCAGTTAAAAGAGGGATCAAAGAGCCTTGTGAACAGTGTGTCGAGGAGTGGGAGCCAACAGGAGCCCCCCTAAAGCAGCCACTGGGAGGGAGGGAGGGAGGGATGGGGATTCAAATGTCCGATTTTAGAGGCTGCTCATTTTTTAACGCCCCATTTCTGACTCTCAGTGCTTTGCCTCCTTTTCCTTAAAGATTTAAAGCATTTCCTGGTGTCCTCTATCGCATCCTGGCGCTGGAGACCATCCTGCTCAGTAACAACCAGGTGGGCTCCATAGACCCCCTGCAGCTGAAGCGCATGGACAGGCTGGGGACACTGGACCTGCAGAACAACGACCTCCTCCAGGTGCCTCCTGAACTTGGGAACTGCGAGTCGCTGAGGTGGGTGCTTCTGTGGGGACCTGCTTTATAGAAACATATCCTGACTGATTCCTTCAGGGCCTGGTTTGTCAGAGGAAAAGGTGCTAATTGTAGAATCACAGAATGGTGCGGGTTGGAAAGGACCTTCCAGAGACTCCAACCACCAACCCAGCACTGCCCCAACCCCCACTGACCCATGTCCCTCAGCACCACCTCTGCCCGGCTTTGAAATCCCTCCAGGGATGGGGACTCCTCCACTGCCCTGGGCAGCCCATTCCAAGGCTTCACAACCCTTTCCATGAAGAAATTTTCCCCAATATCCATCTTAAACCTCCCCTGGGGCAACTTGAGGCCAATTCCTCTTGTCCCATGGCCTGTTCCTTGGGAGAAGAGACTGACCCCCCCCGGCTACCCCCTCCTTTCAGGGAATTGGAGAGAGCGAGAAGGTCTCCCCTCAGCCTCCTCTTCTCCAGGCTGAACACCCCCAGCTCCCTCAGCCTCTCCTCACAAGGCTTGTGCTCCAGACCCCTCACCAACCCTGTTGCCCTTCTCTGGACCCGCTCCAGACCCTTAAAGTCTTTATTTTCAGAGGGGCCATTGGTGGTGTGTTTGTTGGTCGGTCTCGATGCACAAAAAGGGTCCCTCTCACCATTTAATTTCTTCCCTATTTCCTCAATATGGTAGAGAATTGGGGGATTTTTTTAAAAAAAATGGGAAGGTGCTGTTGGTTTGTGTGAATCTAATGTTAGAGCCTAAACCAGTGACCTGGTGGGTGCAGAGAGACGCTGCTGGGCCTGTGGGGGAGCCCGGTCTCCTGCTGTGAGGGAGAGGGGAACGCTCTCCAACTCCAGTAACTCATACAGAGAGGGGGCTGTGTGCACCCTCACACCAGTGACACACAAACAGCTTCTCTTCTCAAACACAACAAGTTACTGGTCCCTCTGGTTCTCCCCTTTAAAGTGCACTTTCTAGTGGGACTTAAAAAATATTACCCAAAAATACACCGCCCCCAGCACAAACCTCCGCAGAGAGCTGTGCAGACCAGGAGCAGGTAGGGCAGGGGGTGGATGGTGTTTTTCCCCTTTGACTGTGCCATTTCTATATTTTAGATGTTCTTTCTCTCACTCTTGCTGGAGGAGCGTGGTGTGTCTGCAGTAATGCACCAGCACTGATTTATTAGCATGAACGAAAATCCCCACGTCTCTGCAGAAGAGAACAGTGAGAGGGAGGGAAGCAGAAAGTGACATCCCCGTAGCAGAACAGAAGAGGGATGAACGGGGGATTTCAGAAGGCTCAGAGGTCTCTGTGGAGGGCGGGGATGGGTTGGTAGAAGGAAAAAGCTCTACAAGAGTCAGTCATAAGTGTGTGTTCCTGCAGGACCCTGCTGCTGGAGGGGAACCCCTTCCGCACCCCGCGGGCGGCCGTCCTGGCCCGAGGCACCGCCGCCGTGCTGGAGTATCTGCGGAGCCGCATCCCCACCTGATCCAAACGCCTCCAGGTTTGGCTGCCTTCCTCCTCCTCCTCCTCCTCTTCCTCTTTCTTCCTCCCTCCTCAGCCCCCTGTTACCTGCCACAGTACCTTTGTGCCACTGTTTGGAGTTTGCACCTGAAGAACGAACTCTCCCATCAGACATTTTCCCCTCGAGGCCGCACGTTTCAAAAGTGCATTTTTTTTATAAAATCCCACAATGTATGTTTACACTTCTTGTACCAACGACCACCAGCCCCTGCGCCTTCAGAGGGAGCCACAACCCCTTTTTAAAAAAGAATTGTCAACATCAAAGTATTTGAGCCAAAGGCAGAAGTAGCAGAGTGTTGTGTGGCTGTTTTATGCTCTCCTGGAGGGTGTTGAGCCTTGTCACCCCTCGGTGTGTGACAGTGGCTGGAGCCCCTGAGCCAGGGGCTGGTGACAGGGGGTGGGGAGGGGACGTGGGGAAACCCTGTGCATGGAGAAGGGGGTCAGTGTTGGAATCTGCACTGAGACAATAAATGTTTGCTGTCAGATGGATGGTTTGGGGATTATTTTTTTAAAGCATGGGCTATAATTAAGTTTTCTGGCCAGTGACAATGAGATACCTTCGGAAGGGGAAGGAAAAAAGGTAGGGCAAGGGACAGGGGAGGGAAAGGATAAAAGGGGAAGAGGAAGGAAAAGAGGAAGGAGCAAGGTGTTTCCTTTTAGAAGGACGGGGTGGTCCTGTCTCTAGAGCTGGACCATGTCAGGAGCTATTCTGGAGCGAGGTGGGTGAGGGAACTGCTGCTGCCCTCACCTCCCCAACCCTCCCCTTGTTTCCCCAACATCCCCATGTGATTTGTATTATTGTACCAAAAAAAGAAGCAAACACTGAGCTTTTCTTCACATGCTCATGGTCACCCCTTTTCTTATCCGATGTCTCACAGGAGCTACAGCTGGACAAGGGTAGTTCTTCAGTTTTCAGGTCTCTGCCATATCGGGTAATTAGAGCATCAGAGAGTCACGGACTCGTTTGGGTGGGAGGGGACCTTAAAGATGGTCTCATCCCACCCCCTGCCCTGGGCAGGGACACCTCCCACCAGCCCAGGTTGCTCCAAGCCCCCTCCAACCTGCCCTTGAACCCCTCCAGGGATGGGGCAGCCACAGCTTCTCTGGCCAACCTGGGCCAGGCTCTCACCACCCTCCCACCAAACAAGTTCTTCCCCACAGCTCAGCTCCATCTCCCCTCTGTCAGGGTCCAACCCTTCCCCCTCCTCCTAGGGCTCCCCTCCCTCATCCAGAGTCCCTCCCCAGCTTTCCTGGAGCCCCCCTTCTTTAGGGACTGGGAACCACCATCCCCTTCCCCTCACACACACGGTGGGTTCAGAAACCCCAGCTCCTTCCCAGCAGTAAAAGACGACGCAACTTAATTACAATAAGGTGACGTTTTTATTATTTATACAATAAAGAGACTTTTTAATGTTATTCAAAACACTTTTTTTTTTTTTTTTTTTTTTTTTTTAAAAAAAAAAAAAAAAAAAAAAAAAAAAAAAAAAAAAAAAAAAAAAAAGTTCTAGGAAAAATATTAAACCC